TCAGTGAACGATAGCTAATCGTAGGAGACTACGGCACCCGATTGCGAGTAGCCATTATTTCGGCTGTTCACTCGATCTGGGGTTCGACTTCTTTGGTTAACCTTCACTTGATCGTCTAGGAGAAAAAAAGCCAATGCGTGAATCAACGCCCCATGGTTAGACTTAGCTAGATGATTGTCGTTCCGGTTCTTCTCAATCCCTTAGTTGACCAGCTACTATAGTGCTGCAATTGGACTAAAATACCCCACCGTTCGACGAACAGGGCTTACTTTACCGTAGCAGGTGAAATTGATAAACCTCAAGGAGCACCGAAAATAAGTTTGTTTACTAACCGTTGTTCGCATGTTCATTCCATCGGGAACTTTCCGCATTCGGTGATGCCGTTTTTTTGACCCGGGTTTTGTGGGACTGTGTGCCTATCGCTTTTTCCTTTCTCGAATGACTGCTGCTGTTTTTGTTGTAGTTACTGTGCCTCCTTCACGCAATGCGCTCGCCTGGATAACGGATTTTCTCTTCGCGCTGAAAAGTCGATTAACAAGGCCAAGATGAGCACACACACACGCCCCATAGCTAGACCGTCAATGAACGGTATTTTTGAATCAGACAAATCAATCATTGCCGTCTCGAAAGCTGATCTGATGGATCTTCCGACTCTTGACAAGGGAATCGTGATGTGATCTGTCAAAACAACCGATCAGTTTGGGGTACCGTGTTCGTATGTGTGACCNTGGTGCCCTAAGCCGATGTGCGTTGAGTGAATGTGGTTTGTCTGTCTGAGTCGTTCTCCATTCATCTGTGTGTGTGCGATCTCGCGCGTTTGGATGGACACCACGGGAATTCGGCTTGTGTGGGATGCTCTGTCATGCCCCGGGTTCCGGTTTGGTCGATCCTAGTAGTGGCCTGACCAATCGTGTTCCTCTGCTTAAGCACAGACTGTTGTCTACTGATATGCATTCCATCTGAGTGTGGAAACAGACAAGTAGGGTGAGACGTGGAAACCATGATATAAGGATCCGGAAACGACAAGTTGCCACAATCACTGGAAATGAACCGGATCAGCTCACCGGTTTCGGTCAATACTAAAAAATGGTCTGAACTCTTATAACACTTCTGCCACGCTGAATGAAGTACCGAAAACGAACTTGCTTTCAGACTTGCCGCAAATATATATATATATATTGAAAAGATTCATGTACAGCACAAGAAATGTGAATGAACTGAAATGAAATCTGGTGGACTAATCGAACAATCAATGCTGAGATTAGGCGTAGAGTTTTACCTATTTTCCGTCACCCNATCGCGGAGACAGGTAGTGGATAGAACAAAACCAAGGGTAGTCAAACTCAGACCTGGCATGAGGCTGTAGAAACCCTAATCAAGACACTGGTCACATATGTCGCGTTAGGCTCTCTGACTCGGGACCCCGGGTGAGAGACATTGAGTGATATTGCCGGGTATCATACACAATGGTATTGGTGCCTCTTCTCAATTTCTTTGCATCCTTAGTCCACTGAAATTCCACATTTTTTCTTCGACTATACTCCTTCAACCTTCCTGTTTTTCTCCTACTGCTTCACCCAAAGGGGCAGTCACAGACAGCAACCAAAGCCGGCACACGAAAGTGCATGGTTAATGGTTAACTGAAAATCTCCGTCCTAAACAGAAGTCAACTATCTGTTCACAATCATTGTGGAACAGGTCGGCACGTTCATAGTTCTTGTATTTTACTCGCATTTGGTGTAATGAGCAGTGGAACAAGAGAGCCGCGTACCGACGAAATCATGCACTCGGTTGCGTTGTATTGGACTGTGGAGCCACAAAATGCCATGGTTTCAAGGCCAACCCTGGATTGGTGGGAACTATTTCGTTGCACCCCGGACAACCGATGACGATATGTGGCAGATTCTTGTCCGGCTAGTGGTCTGGTCTCTCTACGATAATTAAATAGATAAATATTTTTACGTATTTTGTGGATAAATACAAGAAATGGGAAATCACAGCGACCAGCGTGATCCAGACCCGCCACTATATAGCATCCTCATCACCATCCTGCTGTCCGACAGGTAACATTGGATGCAAAACCCAGATTGGAAGAATGCAACGAGTGGGCTTTGATTTATGCAATATTCCGATAGCACTTNACCCTTACGTGGAAGCAGGTCTCCTCAGAATGATAATCTTTTCGCTTCGATTATCTTCTCTTAAATGATTGAAGTAAAATGTCCCAGTGACACCAACTTAGATGTTTAAACTCATCGCCCACAGACAAGTCTGACTTTGAAACACTTTCCACTTTGACTCGTAGTACAATCCGCTGATAATTCTCCTTGCTCCAAAGACATACTTACTAATCGATAGCGGCAGTGGTCACATCTTAACACTAAAACAGCGAGGAAATTTATCGTCCTGCGACCAGCAGAGCAGTCAAGCAATAAACTGCTCTCATGTAAACCGGTACATCAATATCTCTGACAATCCAAAATGATCATTCTAAAAGGTGAACGGTCGAACTATCAGTTGTATCTCTGTTCGCTTCAAGTTTTCCAGTCAATCAATCGGTCGATAGTGGAGATCTGTCATTATCATCGTACAGTGAACTAAACTTTACTGATCGCTATCAACCTCATCGCGCCTCATCGAAATGAGTGAGAAAATGCAACGAGGATAGCGGTTGGACTTATTTCGATGCACGGGAAAAGTAAACCTGAATCGCCAATAGACAAAGTACAGAATCTAACTGTGTACACACACATGTTTTCAAGCCTGTTTTCGTCTGTTTTGAACACTTCTTAAAAAGTCGCCCGAACTAAATCATTATTGCTCAGTTGGTTTCTTTGGCTAACAGTCATTGTTTGTGTTCCGTTACCCACTTGACTGACAAGTGCAGTTGGGATCTGTCTTCATATTTGTTCATGTGCTGCAATCCGGTACCGATTACCTCATGTGAAAATGTGCAACAGGCCCTGCTAGCATCACAACACTCGATTGTGAAACGACTGAACCATAAACGGGCATGGCGATACACGTGTGCCTTGGTGTTTGCGGCCCACGCGTGCAATGCCCTCCTGTCGGTGACGAAACTGTGATCTCATGGCCTGTTTCACGGATCAAAAGTGAACGTTTACAGTTGTTGCTGTGTGTGTGTGTTTGTGTGATATTCACGATAATATCCGGTTACTGAAACGGCAATTGTGAGTCTATATCCGGTTAGAAATTTTCGCGTTTTACACGTTCCACGGGTTATGTTCAGATATTCAGAAACCGAGTTCAGTTGGTTGTTTGTGAGGGCACAACCTGTCTGTCTGTCTAGGATGAACTCATTTCTGGCGACTAGGGCCTTCTTTGAAGCATTTTCGTGCAACAACCACCTTGGATAATATCCCGAATCGCCATAAGTTCATTCTCTGGAAGTACACATCCTCGTATTATCTCCGTGTTGCCCCACTCCGCACTGGCCCTTGTCCAAATACAACACCACATCTCCGTCTTAAACCGGGTGAACGAACGCACGATTGACTGTTTCTGTTTACCGGATTCTCCTTGCTTATTATCTAGACGAGGAGATTGAAATACACTATCATCTACTTCGTCTTCATCAAACCAGCTGTTCTCGGTGTTTGATGCATACCTTTCAGTGATTTACTAAACTGCCGTCATCAAGAGTGACGATTTAATCCGGGGTCTCGGCGAGTTTAGTCACACCAAGCTCGAAAACCCCTGCCTAACGGTATCGATTTTAACTTTTTTGTTGTTGTCTGTCCTGGGTTGCTAACCTGGGACCCTAAATTCCTGTGGCGTCTAACGAGAACGATTTCGTATCTCGTGCAGTCGATAATCCGTATTGAGAACATTTCTAAGGGTTAGGATACACCAGTCGCGTCAGTAATGATTCTTTTCATTTGCACTCATCTCCATATTTATATTTGTTGCTATAGGAAGCGTGACACACACACACACACATGTCAGGCCTGTCGTCTGCTTCGCCCCAGTTTTTATCAGATATAATATTTAATGTTCTCGTCCCTGGCATTGATGATTGCTCTGACTCCACCCAGCCACTTACTCACGTCCCAGATCACATCACACACACACTGGCCCTGTCCAGTCGAGCATCGATTTCGCGCTCATATCCAATCCTGAACATCGTCTTCGCTGCCCATAGGCATGTGCTCCGCATGTCTTGACTCGACGACGACGATGACTGCTTCTTCGGTTGCATTCCACTTGTTTGCGGTGAATAGCACGCCATACGCTGTCTGATTGTGATAGTTCCTAATTTGAAACTGTGAGAGAGAGAGAGTGAGTGAGTGAGTGAGGTGTCCCTAAATGCACGAACTGTATTTCACGAACGAGTACAGTATTTCTCGGCATATGACAATCACTTTTTTTATCGTGTCCCGGTCTGTCTTACAATTCCTAAAAGATTCCCATAAGAATATCAAAAGACAGACAATTTAGCAAATAAGCTTCTTTTCTTAACTTCATCTTCAGGCATTTACTGTTATTTATGTTTGCATATAATATAGAAATAAATTTGATTGATCCATTGAGGTCAAATGTGAAAGTTCAACGATCTTTGTCAAGTTTAATCGGAGGAGAAAGATGGACGATTCTGGAAATTTCCGATGACCTTTTTTACACGCGACCTGTCACGTCCTGTTGCGTCATCACGATATGATTGAGATCATGATTCGGATCGTCAAGTAGATTTGAGCGGAGCCAAGGCAACTGAAGTGCTGCAAACATTTTGCGCAGTGGTGGGTTCATGATTTCGATCGCTACAGCTTCTGCCGTTGCCAAGTGACGTCGGAGAATGTGGCGGAGTGGTTTAGTCTTTGTTACCGGCGTGCTTTGGACTCTGTGGTCCGAGGTTCGAGCCGCACCACCGCCACCCAAATTTGATGATAGACAGCTCTGCTGTCGTCCGGTTCAATACCACGCCTAATCTATCGGGGCTTTATGTGGTTCACCACTCCAAGTCCCGGGGCTTAGGTAGCCGGTTTCCACCACTGAACAGCCGGTCTTGACTATGGGGTTCGCCCCGTCTGCTGCTCATCACATTTGGGTGTATAATAAAAAAATATAAAAAACACTTCGACTTGTTTCGGAGCACTTTGTTAACGACTTTGAAATGTCTCGTTGTCTGTCTGGTGCCCGGTATCATCGGTGAGGTGAGGGCCACAACCGCATTGGTTATTGTTTTCTTGCAACGCGTACTAGGCCCAGCTGGTTTATGTTCTCTGGTCTTTTGTGAGAACTGTATCATCGTTCGTCCTACAAAAGTTACCGAACATGTTCAAGTGAAGGAGTATATAATCATGGATGAGGAGAGGATGGACAGCTTACGCCTGAAGTTTGTGCAGAGCTATGGTCGGCTTGTAAACGTCGCACATGGCGTGGTAGCTGGATATGTTCGCCTAATTGATTTTTCCAAATATCTTCTTAGTAGATCACTCGCGTCGCCTTTGGATGGGAGCTTCAAGAATAGTTCATTCTTGCCCATGATTGGGTTTGATAGTCTGGGCTTTTCTACGAAATTCTTCTCGATGAATTGATTAAATTTCCAAAATCGACCTCGGTCCCTCTTCCCTCACCCTTTCTCCCTTTGTTCCGATTAAACTTGACAGATATTGTTGCACTTTTACATTTGACCTCAATGGATCGATCACAGTCATTTCTATATTACATATGTCACGACGGACCTAAATCAATGTTTATTTGCTCCTATAACTGTTTGGGAACATCGCCAGGATTATACACGTGAGTAGAACATCTTCCGTCGGCTTCCTAGCGTTACCAAGTCAAGTTTTGGCTGCAAATCATCTTTTTTTTTTCTTAAATAACAGACTACACCTGTTGGTGATTGAGTAACGTTATCATGAAGGTAATCCGCGCAAAACCGAATATCTGCCAATTGAATTTACTAGCAGCGATGTTGTTTCGCCTGGTGAATGTCCGTCAGCTGTCCTCAAAAAGGCAACTTCATTTCGGACAGATCCCAATTCTTTTTTTTTTTGTCCTATCTTTCCGGTATTGCATAACCTGATTATAGTCCCGAAAATTCCTCTGATCAGCCGTACCCCGCCCCTCACCCTCCCTCTCTCCCTCGTTTTTTTCACTAGTGGGACATCTTGGTATGATAGTGGAAAACGATTTGCCAGTTGAAACATTGTTTTCCCGATAAAAAGAGCACAAAATGTCGAATTTGCACACCGTGTGTTTCTGTGCTCGTTTCGGTACATCTCAACT